CTTATTTCAGTTACGTGTTATATGTCTTATGGAAGAGTCCTGCAGAAGTAAATGGGATTAAAGCAATGCATTTGTATGGTAGCTGTTATTGATTTAACCTGGGGTTCTGAAATCATCTGGCAAAATCCTATAGGAGGGATATAAAATTCTTTGGACTATTCTATGGAATAGGTCTAGAAACTAGAATCTACGAACAGTGAGTCCAATGGGGCCAAGAAAGGCTCCACTGAGGCTTTGGAAAGGCCATAGAAAGGCTATAATTCTGCATTAGGCTTACAGGATTTATGCAACTCATACTATCAAGGTAGAAATCAGATTCTCTCTGTGGAAGTCAAAATTCAATTTCTCAAATACATGCTGGTACAGAAAAGATCCCCTCTCTTTCTCTGTCCCCCCAACCCCAGTTCACAAGAGCGCACACACGCAATAAATCAGACATCCCACCCTTCTTATCAACTTTAAACATTTCTGCAGCACCTAATGCCTTCAGTAGTTAGAAGTCACAAGCAACAAGGCATCCAACACTGGAACTGATTATACTGAAATTGCCATAATGGCTTTGGGGAAGGGATGCAGCTGGATGCCAAACATTTAAAAACCATGAGTAAGTCCCTAAAATTGTAAAACTGGTTTTTAACAACTCCCAATGTTTTTAATATCTTTCTTGAGTTAGATGGGAAGAACTGACTTGCAATATTTTTGCTTTCTACACTATGCTTGGGGAGAACAGCTTTAATACATGGCGCAACCACAGGCTAGAAATGTACTTTTCTTAGCATGAGAATTTCAGCTTTAAGTGCCCTAATTATAGTAGCTGGGCTTTAAAAGAAAACATTTTATGATTGCAAGACTCACAGTAAAAAATCATGAGAGCAGTAACACTTTGATTTTGTGAGCCTCTTTGGGTTGCTTATAAACAGCACAAAATTGCTTAGTCCTTACCCTGAGCAGGAACAAAATGGATCAAGACAATAACCATCGGCAGCATGCATAGAGAGCAGCATCACTGATCCATTTACAACTTAAAATTCCTTTAAGGGCAAGTTGTAATAAAGCTATTTATATCTTGGACTGCGCACTAGGGTTCTCCAGACTAGAACTTGGTGTTTATTTGTGGCTTATAGCCGGCTTTCCATCTTATGCACAAAAATGGAGGGGGTTCTTTTCATTCAACTTTAAATAGCATTTCAAGGGACCAAAATAAGAATGAAAGTATTACGCACTCTTAATAAATTCACCTCAGGGCTAAAACATTTTACCCACTTCCCTTCTGGCTCCATAAATGCACTAGTTGGTCAACTGACGGCCAAAAATGAGAAGCAAAACCCTGACACGAACAAGAGCTGCAGTAATACTTATGAAACTCACAACAAGGATGAAGGCTCCTGAAAAGCAGATGTCGACAAATGTCAGGTTATTTCACATTTTCCTTATTAATTCAGGAGTGTAGGAGAACAGTCCATGGATTTGAAGCGCCCTTCCTGGTGCTTGGCCTGGCTGGAACAAGCACGTCAGTCAAGTGAGACTTATGCGCTGCTTAATGCATGGCCTGGCAACAAGGATTCTGGAATATGCGAATCACTCTCTCCTCACCAGCTGGGGAACGTCCTGAAGTTTTACTGCACTCTCACCCAGGGCACTTTCTTCTCACACAAGGCTTAGACGACTGGGAAACCCCCCACGGGCCACCCACAAGGTTCGGCATTCATGGCTTGCTTTCACAGCAGTTCGAATAGGGCTCCTTTCTTGCACTGGCACCCTGTGAACAAGGTCATCCCACAAATTTAGCAAGGTCCACATCCCTGTTTCTAAACACTTCCGGGGGGGGGGCGGGGAATCTTTTTTTTAAAACTATTTTACAGAGCGAGTGTTTAAAATCTCCAAGAACAATTTGGTTGCAAAAATTCTGTTTGCAGTGTGAGCAAAATATGAAGATGCAAAAGTTGCATCTTCATATTTATTTCAAGAACACCTTCAAAACAAAGACTAGGAATGGACTAGAAGAAGAACAGACTGGTCTATTTTCCTCCTCCAAAGCCAGTGAGACACAGGACTATTTAAACAAACAGTCTAACTAGGATGATACTAACCCCCCACAAACAATGGGCTGGGCTATAATATTTCCCCTCGTGGGAGGCTTTGATACAGGAGGTTTTGTTCCATTAGCTTCAAAGGGGATGTGTAATTTTAGTAGGGCAGGAGGCACATGACCATTACAAAGTGCTTTACAGACAAAAGCAGAGCAGAGGGAAAATGGATTTGTAGGAGTCTCCTCCAGGAAGGAAAGCAAAGCTTCCTACTGACAGGGCTGGGGGAAGTGTAAAAAGCTGACATTTTCTAAAAAGAAGCCAATAAATAAAACTGGGCAGACTAGCAGGACTGAGGGATGGTAGAGCAGGCAGCAATGGGGGTGGGAGAATGTAAAAACTAATGCACAAGTCTGTCTCCAATTCCAAATGTTACAATTTGTTGGGCTTTTGGGAAAGATGAATTTTGCAGAAGTCAGTTTGTCAGTGGGAGCTTGCAGCCCCCGAATCCTCCCCTAGGAAGGATGTTGGTCTTTCCTGTTGCTGGTGCAGATTCACTCTGCTTCTTGATTCTAAATCAGTGATTCTCATCCTTTTTAGGGGTGAGGCACCCCTCAATAGATCCAAAACACCCCTCAAAAAATGCCACGTCCTAATTTTTACTTGTTTTTTGATTACAGAAAAACAGAAAAATCCTTCTGTTGCAAAGAACTAAGAAAGACCACAACAGGTCAGGGTGGTCTTTAATGCTAAGGATTCCTATTTAAAATTTCTAGGTTTATTTTGCAAATCTTGTTTGAATGCCGACTGTGTGGCACCCTCCAAAGAATCTCCAGGCACACTGGTGAGAATCACTGCTCTATACCAACACTAGTTGCCATCCAAATACTAGAGGCTTGAGATACTATACAAGCTTTCCCCTTCAGAACAACATGGCTAACAAGAAGGAAATATCTGCATCTCTCATTTGATCGGGGTGTGGACCAAAAAACAAAACAAACCAAACTTTCAAATGCTACAAACCAGACTAAAACTGGATGGAGAAAGATAAAGGATGACAAATTTATGAAAAGACACAATATTATCAAAGCAGCACAGCTCTGCTACTTGCCTGAAAAATATATGGACTGTATTATTAGAGTAGCCACAATTGGTTTCAGTAGAGGCTGTGCCCTAGCATGGGGATGGTGACCCAAAGCAAGAAGCCAGAGCATTAACCCTTCTCCCCGATGTTCATTCTGACCACGTAGCAAAACCCTACAAACTGGCAGCTTTTTAATGTCAACAATAAAAATTATGCTGGAGTCCGTGAAGGCTCGTGAGGCGAGAGGCATTATAAAGGAGCTGAAAGGGAGCCTCCTACACTCTCATGGTTTAAGACTATTGCTCGAAGGCCGCTGTGCCCACACCAGTGCAACTGTAAGACAGATATTGGGATTGGGGGTGTGAAAGGTTA